CTATCTTTCTTTAGAATAAATAAGATAGAAGCTCTTACTAAACTTTTAAATAGCTAGATTCTTCTATAAGTAAGGTTCTTATTAATATAATCTCTTAATTCTTATAACTCTAACTAAGAGAGTGGGTATATAGGGCTAAATAGTAGTATTTTACTAGGTTTAAGTTTAATAATATAATCCTAAGAGGAATAAGAGGATATAATCTTAGAATTCTCTAAAGAAAAGATATTAAGATACTTATATAGTTTAGAAGATAATTCTTTAATCTTTAAACTAGGAGGCCTCTACTCTTCTTCTTCTAGAAGCTATATTTACTTAGGTAACTTTATAATAGTAAATACTATTATATAGTTTTAGTATATCTTTATAAATTTATATAGAATTAGGATTAAGTAAGTAGGAGTCTTAAATTACTATTAATAATTCTATAGTAAAAGATAGATATAAAGATTATATAATATAGTTATAGAAAGGAGAATAGGGCTTCCTTCTAGTTATAAATTATAATTAATTATAATATATACTTATTTAAAGCTTCTTTTTATCTCTCTAGAATTATAGATAATAATAGGGACTTTCTAAACCCTATAAATAAGAGTAATAAAGTTATTAATAACTCTAATAATAAAGGCTATAAGTTTTACTTATTATAATTTTTAGGATTTTATAAAAGTAATATTAATAATATTAATCTTAGTATAACTATCTAGGTCTATATATATTTTAAGACTATTTACTAGACTTATTAGAATATAAAAATAGTAAGTTATCCCTACTTCTAGATAAAAGATTAAAGATATAGGTTTTACTCTAACCTCTTATTATTTTCTACTATAAGTAATTAAACTTTAGTAGTTTTTTTAGTATATTAATTTACTAAGTATTTTTTATTCCTATACTTATAGTACTTTAAAGGTTTACTATCTTTATTAAGTTAGTTTTATTAAGGTTTTAATCTATTATTATTATTAGAATAAAAATATTTAGATAGATTACTTTCTTAGGGCTTTCTTTTCTAAGATTTCCCTAATTCTTTCTTCTTTTATTTCTATCCCTATTAGAGTAAGGTCTAGTATTTAGATATTTATAATATTATTTTATCTCTAGTATTAGGTAGTGTATCCAGGTGCTCTTATATATAGGTATATAACTCTATTATAAGATAACTAAAGAAGTTTAGTGCCTGTTACTTTTTAGAATATTAAGAAAAATACTATTCTAATATATCTAAATAGATATAAAATTCCTATAGGTCTTTATTAGAGTGTTAATTAGTATTATATAATTATATAATTATTTTTAACTTAATAGTTATAGAATCCTAGATTAAGTTAATTATCTATTCTTAGAAGAACTACTAGAAATACTTAGTATTTTAGTAGTCCTCTATTAATAATTCTCTAACTTTACTATATCATCTCTACCTATAGATTAATTCTATTTATAAGATTATAGTAATAATTTTAAATTTATTAGGTCTATACTTCTTTAGAGCTCTCTAAAATATATATTCTATATCTTAGATCTATTCTTCCCTCTTTTAGAAGAAATACTTTAAGATAAAAGTAGGGAGATTCTTAAACTTAATCTCTTATTTATTCTTAAAGAGAATATAGATATTATTTTAATAGGTAATTAATTTATATTTAGGTTTATTAGTAGACTTCTGTATCTGCTAGTTCTTTTTAAGTATAGTAATATATTAGAATAGCTATTAGATTTCCTTATTAGATATCTAGTAAGGCCTTATAGCTATAGAAGAGGATTTACTTCTCTTAGGAGGTATATTATCTATATTCTCCTATTATTTAGTTAGTATATTACTAAGAGATTCCTATAATTAAGGTAGAGATATAGGAATAACCTCCCTTAATATATTAATATTAGCAGGCATCATAACTAATACTAAGGTAGTTAAAGAGGAAGGATTAGAAATTATAAGGATAATCTACTAGATAGGGTAGATAAGCTTATTAACTAGGTAAGCCTCTTAGAAATAATAAAGAATAGGGTACTTAGTTAGAATAGTATAGTAGAATAGTAAATTAGTTAATAATAAGACTAATTCTTATCTTTCTAACCTATTAGATAAGGGGGTCTATATATATCTTTATTAATAATATATTATATTTATAGTAGTCTTTCGCAAGCATCTTAAGGTATGAAAATAGGTAATTAAAAACAGTATGCTTAATGTAGCTATCTGTAAGCATAATATGAATCAAGGGAGAATGACACAGAAGCTATACTTAATCCATTACAGTTAATTAATTAAGTATTAAGTTAGATAATAAGCTAAGTAAATTTAATAATAATAATAAGATCCCTAATTACCTAAAATATAGTGTAAGTGCTGATCTTTCTAAGGAGAATATTATTATAGGAAAAATGTAATATTAAGCACCTTATAGATATAGTTATATAGCTATAAACTAGGCAGATGGATTAAGATAATTCTATTTAGTATTCTCTATATTTAGATTAGGGCTATTAAATAATATAATAAAGAAAGGCCTAAATATATCTATAAAATAACTTTATTAAGATGAAATACCTCCTCCCCTAAATAACTAGAAAGAGATGTAAAGGCATCTGTTAAAAGAATTCTTCTAGGCTACTATAGAGTTAGAATATAATATAGTAGTAGCTAGAGGGACTTTTTAGAAGATATAAATACTAATTAGTAAGAAGATTATTCTATTAAAATAGGTTTTTATATATAAATTTAATTAAGAAGGCTATTTAATTAAGGTAAAGGCCTAAATCTATATATAAGATAACCTATAAGAGATAATATAAGATAATACTAGAGCTATTACCCTAGTAGTAAGAACCTTTCAGACCTTAATAGCTATTATAGTAGTATTTAATCTAGATATCTAATAAATTAACACTATTAATGTATTTATTAATAGTAAGCTAGATAAGGAAGTATATACCTAGATAGTAGAGGGATTCTTTAAATATAGTTATATTTATCTATTAAAATAAGCTCTTTATAGGCTAAAGAGGTTATCCTAACTCTAGTAAAAGGAGATTTTAAAAGTCCTTAATAAATTAGGCTTATAGAGAATTAATATAGACTCCTATCTTTATATAAATAATAAGCTCATAATTATAGTGTTTATAGATAATATACTAATTCTATACTACTATAAAAGTAAGAAGCATGCAGATAATCTAATTTAGAAACTATAAATATAATATAAATTTTATAATCTAGGTAAGGGAGATACCTTTCTAAATATTAAGATTATATAAGATTAGATAAAATAGAAGCTTTAGCTTAGCTAATAGAGCTATATTAAAAAGATTATAGCTAGATATTATCTTAATTTAACTAATAGGAAGCCTTACACACCTATAATAAATAATCTTAAGCTATATAATAGAAAGATAACTATTAATAAGATATACTATTACTAATCTAAGATTAGATTAATTCTCTATACTGCAGTAATCACTTGCTTAGATATTATAAAGATAATATCTAATCTATTAAGATATCTATTAAATCCTAGACTAGCCTATTTTAATAYAGCTAATTATATRCTCTTATATYTTAATACTATAAAGGACTTTACATTAGAATTTAGAGGTGATCTATCTAGGAATATCTTTATTATTATTAGTAATACTATCTATATAGACTAATTAGATTATAGTAGTAGTAATAGATATCTTATAAAGCTATTTAGTACTATAGTAGATTAGTAAGTAGCTAAGTAATATATAGTTACTATATTAATAACTAAAGCTAAATTACTAGCTATCTTAGAGGTAGTAAAGAATATATTCTAGTAGAAGTAACTATTCCTAAATATTAGATTTAATCTAGAGTATAAGATATTAATCTTATATAATAATTAGTAAATTATTAGCTTGCTATAAAGTGAAGAGCCTATCATCTAAACTAGGCTTTAGTATATTAATATATACTAATACTAGCTATAGTAAGAGGTCTAATTAGGCTAGATATTAATTAATTAGATTAAAATAACTAATATACTAGCTAATAGCCTTACAAAGATTCTTCCCTAAAATAAGCACTCAGAATTCTGTAAGATAGTAGGGCTTATTAGCTAATTAGAAGCTAGAGATTAGGAGCTTTAACCTTATCTTATATTTATAATTTAACTTATCTTATTAATTAAATAGATATAGCTTTAATAGCTATAGAATTAATATTAAATATAGCTTCACTTAGTAGCTTAGCTAGGGGGGTGTATTAAATTAAATTATAGCTTACTAAATAGAGAAATTCAGCTATTCCTTTGTTTAATCTTTCTATATAGGGATTCAGCTAAGATGATTATAAAATTACTAGAATTCTATGGAATTATGATTATAAATTAATCTTGTTAATACAGAATCATTTTAAATCTGAATACCTTCATTTCTTAAAGCATAAATAGTGCCTCAATAGTTGTTCATTAGAAAGAATTAGACCTTTATTTAATTTTGATCTTACATATAAATTCTTAGTCATTTCAAAACATTACTAGCGTAGTTGAATTCAAAAATAAAACTAACTGACCGTCCCCATCTGAAGGAAGAATCATTACGGTGAGTTGCGCATGTACACTGCAAGATTTCAAAATATGCATAAAGCTGCGATATTAGAAACATATTTATGCCCAAATTGTGAAAATCTGTCTATACATCACACACTACAGCATACTGTTCCCGTAATGGACCAAAGGCAATTTTTTTGTAGAGAGTGTATAGCTAAAGCTAAGTGCATTTAAGGAAAGGAACGTGACGCAAGCTGTCACAAGCTATCATAACTTTTATCATCTTAGACAAAAGCAGCAAAGACTCACGGCACGCCGTCCCTATCCAGACATGGTGTAAATGTGAACTCCATGAGGGTGATCAGGACTGCTTGCATTGCAGGTGCATCGACATCCGCGAGTCCAGATTGGTTCGGAAAAAAACCAAGCTGTGTCCACAGCACTTAGGTCTTTTGGCCACTATTTCAGGTCGAGTTAGTTACCGCCTCAAGATACATCCTGGATTCCACGTACATCATTTGGTTTCAGGTTGATATTGGCTCTTCCATGAGTGATTTCACACAAACCATTGAAATCGTCTCCAGGATATCGGCAGAGACCAAATGATTGGGTAACGTTGTGCTCATGAAGTAATTCTTGAAAGCGCTTCATGAAACGTAATTCTCCCTCCCCGATAGTCAGGCCCTTCCCCTCCGAGAAATAGAACTCAGTCGGTTTGAATTCACCATCAGAGGAGACTGCCCAGATAGCGGGCTGAGGAGGTTTCACTCCGGAGACATGGCATGTGTTCCAAGGTACAGATGTACCTTCGTAATCAACAAGCATCTCACCAGGCTCGAGGTCAAAATGACGGTGAAGCATGGCGAGACCAAACGTGCGATCCATGCCCTGCTCAATGAAGAATTTTTTGAAGACATCTTTCACAAGGTCATCGCCATTCAGCTTCATAAAGTTGGTGCGTGCAATCGCCAGGGAGGGAAGGGTCTGAAAATGGTCGACAGAGTATTCACCGATGGACATATTGGGCAAGGAACTTTAACTCAACAAGCTCAGGATTTGAAGTCGAGATATACTGATGTGAAGAGCCAGCGTTAGATTCGCTCTGGGGACCTGCTATTGCTTGAAGGGAGAAAATTGTAAAATGACGGGGAAACTCCACCTTTTATAATCTGCAGACCCGGATAAGTCCATTAAATGTTTGTGGCATATTGCGTATTTACAGCTTTCAACGCCTCCCGTGAAAACATTTTGTTGTCCATTGTGGATCCTATAATCTGCACGTAGAGCCAAGACGTTCGACTTTCTGACAGCTGCGGGACGAAAGTGGGGCTGCATAGGGTCTTGGATTACTCAAATATCGTGTGTCTCCCTCCGTTTCTTCCTCCATTTCTTCCTCCATCTCTTCCTTCCTCCATTTTCTTCCTTCCTCCATTTTCTTCCTCCATTTTCTTCTTCCATCTCTTCCTCCGTTTCTTCCTTCCTCCATGTCTTCCTCCATTTCTTCCTCCATCTCTCCCTCCATCTCTATGTCGACCCTCGCGTCACGCATCCATCCTTGTGCCACCTTCTCCACTACGGTTTCGTCAAAGGCTCTACGGCAAGACAAGATCAAAAAGGCTGCCTTTTTTTTTACCGTTGAGGCGTCATAGCGACATGTTTTGGCTTAGTAGCACACCCTGTAATAGGATTAAGTGGATGATTGGGAGGAAGAGGTAATATCCGTCCCACTGGAAGGCGTAACTTAGTGACCTACTCCTCGATCAGTTAGAGAAAGCTTTGCCAAGGCAGCTGCTATGTGCCGAGTATTATGGAAGAGTCCTTCAAGCCAGATTTTGGAAATTCAGAACATTTTATATATATTTAAAATGGACACGAACCGTCCCTGACCAAGTAGAAAAACTCCAATGGATTCCCAGCTGTTATTCCAGCTGACTGCGTCAACGATAGCATCAATTTGCTGCGGGTCAAGTCTTGCCCTCTGGCTCATGTCGATCAAGGCTATGAGCTGGCAAAGACTAAAAAATGAACCACTCATCGCCGCTCAAGCCGTCATAGGTGCTTTCATCTTCCTGGGATCAATCATATCTGTTCTGCTTTCAATTTTGAGAGCAAACCTAAAGACCAGTAGGTTGCTCCTTTGGCCAATTCAGCTTCCTCTCTAACCATATATCAGATCTGCCTTGGCTGATACTGCAGCTGGAAATAGGCAGTATGCTTATTTTGCTCATTTTAAATGAGGTGAGGGTGACGAAATAGAAGGAGAGCGATACTGACGTCTGCCAGTATCTGTGTGTTTCTACTCTACAACACTGGGCAGCCCATATGATATCTGCCTTATTATCCTTGGGTGCAGTCACTATTCTATCACTTTCCGTCTCTTTTCCGGTGCGTGTCAACTGTGCTCTACATATTGTGTGTGCTTTATTAACCAAAAGATGCAGGAGCAGCGCAGCATTTTATTTTCTTTATTTATCATCATCGCCTTTGCTGGCCTCAGCTTCATTCATGCCCAAATTATTAGGGCGTGGGTTATATGCATGAGGCCATGGCGTATGGATACAACTACATTTAAATCATTTTGGCAGTATCCGTGCCCCGCAGCTGCCAGGCACCAACGAGCCTTGTGGATAGCGTCCACTGGCTCTGTAGTGTTGTTTTTTATTTCATTAGGCTTGACGATACTTGCCTGCGTACGAACCAACCTGCAGACTCAAATTGTGACAGTAGATATGTCCACTAAACCATCGTCATAAGTTACTCACATACTGCATAGATCCAAATCGCCATAACAAGCCTAAGAAAGGTGGTCATTTCATCTTGCCTTCTTCAAGCTCCTTAGAACAACGTGGGTGTATTACTTTCGCACAAACACGCTTAATAACAAGGACATATGAACGCACGAAAGAATGAGGCTGTGTGTGATGATTCATAGGTGTTTGATATTGATGCCTTGTTCCTTAGGCAGATCTGCATGCTTCTACTATTTAGATCACTCTCTTGCCATCCTTCCTTCTTCCTTCTCCTCATGCTTAGTTGCTTCCTGAATGCTACTATGATTGATTCTGAACCTTTCGTACCTGAGCGTAACACTGTGGAATATCCATGCCTGTGTATCCTTGGTGTTATTGCGACGGCACCTTTCCCCTTCAGGACGCACTAAAGTGCTGTCCGGCCAATGGCCGGCGGTATCCGGGGGCCCCCTCCCGTACCCAACTTTCCCCCAAAGAGGAAAGGTCGAGACTCAAGTCTCAACTTTTTGGGGCAATGTTACAAGTAGAGTGGGGACACTCTTCCAAAAAGTTGCTCTCTTCGGATCATTACTTGATCCGCCCGACTGTTGTCTCGGAAAATCTCGCATTCCAAGACTATCTTTCACTACGGAGGCGTGCACCAAAAGTGTTGACCCACACTAGTAAGCTTGGCTGTATCCGGCTGACGCAGCCCCCCTAGTAATTTGTATGGTAACGCATCTAAAGGGGAAAATCTTTATTTATATTCTAGTATTCAACTCTTTGATACTATCCAAAGTCAATATTTTCATCAAATCTATTACTTACCATTCCTAAGAATGGCTATCATCCAGTTGAATTACGCATTCAGATTCTCAGGCTAGTAGCCTGGGGTAGGGTGGTTATTTTCACGGGTTGGGCCGGGTTCCCCTATCTTTAGAACCCAACCCACCGGGTTCGGGTTCTAGATTTCTAGGGCCCAAACCCAGCCCATAACCCACGGGTTCTAGGGTAGTGAACCTAAATAGAACCTAAAGAGCCTAAAAATCACTCTCTGCCTGCCTAATCTAGTTAGTATGTATTTAATTTTTCAATACCATACTAGTATCTAGTATATATATATATATATAATATGATTATATATATAAATATAGCATATTAGTATAGAATCTAATGTATTCTAATTACTAGGTATTATAATTAAAACCCATTTTTAGAACCCAAACCCTAGATGGGTTCTAATTCTAGAACCTAACCGGCCCATGGGCCCTAGAACCTAAACCCGAACCCAGCCCATGGCGGGTTCGGGCCGGTTTGGGTTCAGGTTCTTGGGTTGGGTTTAACCACTCTAGCCTGGGGTATTGATATTAAGGAAATTGCTAATAATCTAGAGGTTCCTCCTCAATCTATCTGGAAGATGATTTAACGCGCTAAAGACTGTGGATTCAGCCCTGGAAGATGTGAACGCATTTAAATAGAATATACTAAGGATGCTAAATAATCTAGCCAGCCTAGGGAGATAACACCTAAGAAGGAGAAAGCTATTATTAAATCTATATCTAAGGACCATAATAGAAGGGAGAAATTATCTAAAATTCTAGCTTATAAGGCTAGTATATTACACTCCTCTGTTTTATAGATTCTTAAGTAAAATAGATTTATTATTACAAAGCCTTCCTAGAAGCCTGGACTAACTAAAGCTACTAAGGCTAAATAACTTAAATTCTACCTAGATTACTAATACTAGACCCTTAATAATTAGAAGAATATTATCTGGATAGATAAAACTGCAGTAGTTCTAGGCCACCAGTATGGATCTATATATGTATAGTAAATAGTTAAAGATTAATATAATTTAATATATATATAGAGGTGTTGGAAAGGTGCATCTAATTTTATAGTTTAGGTATATTTCTCTTATAATAAAAAAGGCCCTATCTATATCTAGGAGCCTGAGACTTTATAATAGAAGAAGTAGGCTAAGATAGAAATTAAAGCCTTAAATTAGGAGCTTAAGCTTATCTACTATACTAAATAAGAGATAAATACTACTATAAACTACTTTCATCTCTGCAGAATTAGGGGGTGTAAGCCTATATAGAAGTAGAATAAGAAGAATAGTAAATATATTTAGAAGGTAATAAAAGATAGAATAGATTAGTAGAGATATTAAAAGATAAGTTCTCTTAGAGGTTCTTCTAATCTTAGTAATTTATATACTAATCTAGAATCTCTCTCTACTAGAAAGTTCTAATTCTAAAGCTTATTTCTTTTATAAAAGAATACTAGAAAGATTAACCTAATACTATTATTCTTAAAGATAAGGCCCCAGCTCATATCCACCATAGTCAATAGTGTATATATAATATCTATATAGTTTAATAGCTCCTAGATTGGCCAGGGAATTTACCTAATTTAAATGCTATTAAACTATACTAGCTATTTCTAAAGAGATAGACCACTATATATAGAGCCCCTTAGGATAAGAAGACTAGTAAAGCTATCTAGATAAAGGTATAGAATGAGCTTCCTTAGGAGAAGATTTAGTAATAGATTTAACACCTTATTTACTATATCTAGGAGGTTATCAAGCTGCAAGGAGGGAATAAATACTAAGAGAGGTAAGATAGGCCTAAGTATAATTAGTTAGGAAGGCAGCTTAGGGGACAGCTATCTAGATGTTAAGATCTAGACCTAGACTGGGAAGACATCTGAATAGCTTTATATCACTATTATAGATAGATTCATTTGAATATTTTTCCTTCTAGACGTGTTGCCATACAAATTACTAGGGGGCTGCATCAGCAGGATACAGCTAAGCTTACTAGCATGGGTTAATACTTTTGGTGCACGCCTCCGTACAGTCAAGCCCCTTCCCTTTAAGCTGAACTATAAGGTAGCCAAACAATACCAACTCCTCTGCTGCAGCTGGTTCTGCAGGTTTCATGCCCATCAACACCACTAATATGCCCCCTGCAGCTATTTCTATAGCTGCTGTAAAAGCCACCACCCCTAATGTAACTACTGTGCCTGCCCCTGACTGCCCCCCTGATGAATGGGCCGCGTTTAGAGTTGCATTTGGTGCGAGTTCGGGTGAGTTCAACCTTAGGTGGCACTGAACCGCTGCAGTTTTGGGTTGAAATTTTAGAACTTATAACTAAATTAAACCTGGTGTGATTTGGTTATGGATTCACTGTAAAAACCCACTGCTAGGCCTAGCTAGGCCTAGCTAGGCTGATCATAACTAACCATAGTTAGATTTAGTTTAGTTTTAAGTTAGATAAACTGCTA